GTTGCCCCCCCCCCCCCGGTTTTTAGGCTATCCTGTCGTTATGGAGAGATCTGATGGGAAAGGTCTCAAGGATTTCTCCCACGCCCCCAGCAGCACGATTTCTGGTTCGTAGCTCTATTTCAAGCTTCCTTCACTCGTTGTTTTTTTTTTTCTCTTTTTTTAATTTATCAGTTTTGATCTCTATCTGAAAAAGAAATGGGAACTTTTTTTGGTTTCAGACTTAATTTTGAAAAAAATAAATGAGGTTTTAGTGCGCTGATATATATATATTATTAAGATTTACGATATTATGTGAGTTCTAAGTTGGCCTTTAATTGGATGATACAGATAGCGAGCTATTCGATGCATCGCAGTATGCATTTTTTGGGAAAGATATAGTGGATGAAGTGGAGCTGGGTGGTTTGGAGGAAGAAGAGAGTGCCCTTGCAATTGGCAGTGGGTTTGGCGGCGAGGATGACTTGCACGAGTATCATTTGTTTGATAAAGATGAGGTGATATGCATACAGACTTTAGACTTTTTTAAGTAGGCGTTAGCCTTTCACAATCATTTTTTTGCTAGTGAAAAAGGAAGAAGTAAAAAGTTCTGTCTCTTGACAAACGGGTCTTGAACCTAACAGAGAATAACTCAGGAATGCTTGTCGTTTCTTCCTGTTTATGTTCATTTTGTGCATGCTACAGTAACTATTGGACTGTTAGAATCTACTTCGGAAAGTTTCGGGAATGATTTATATAACTTGTTCGAGATACATTTGAACAAAGTTTAGGTAATTTACAAGTAAAGAGCGAATGAGAGCCTTCTCTTAATAATTCTTGCAGAAATCCTTTTGAGAATGTTGTATTACATGTTCAAAATGTTGTCTGTCAAGTAATGAAAAGGAATATTGAGAATACGTTTGGACAAAATGATCCGGAAATGCTGATTAAAATTTTTAGTTTTTGTCCCTAACAAACTGTCAAAAGTATACTTTATCTTTCCAGTTTCACTAGCTGTGCACTTTCATTTCTCATTTCTCAAAATGTTCCTGAAATAGCACTGGTAAATTTGTTATTTTTCTCCATTATTCGTTTGAGCCCACTTGATGGATTACAGAAAATTGTTTCCTGAAATGCCCTTCCTGTCCCTCACCAACACTGTGTTATGAAAGTATAATTGATTATAACCATTTCACTATCATTTTGGTTTTATCTTGTTAATGCAGGGAACAGTAATGCATGACTTGTTTTTGACTGTTCCCCTGCGAGGCTACATTTCCAAATTAATTGAATCGATTGCTGTTACAATTCATGCAAGGATGATAATAATCCTTCACTGTTGACTTCTGTAAATTTGGTTGATTTTTATCTTCTTGTATCTTTATGCATTGTAATATTACCTTGTCCGTCGATTTTCTGTAATGTAGTTTTTTTTAATTGCTCAGTTTTCTTTTATGAGCAATGAGAAGTTAGTGCACAGTAATTAAATTGCATTGTCTCTCTTCAGGGATTGGCTTTAGGATCTTTGTCTGACATAGATGATCTGGCTACTACATTTGCTAAGGTCAGGTGCTTGGAATTAATAATATTGCTAGCCACAAGTGTTAGTTTCTGGTCTTCTAAAGTCGCATATTACTTTAAAAGTCAATTCCTGTATAATACTACAATTTTTCTCTTGGAGTATTCTTCTTTGACTGGGCTGTTAATACATAACTTCTAATGTTGATGGTATCCAGCATGTTCTCTGCTATTTCTTTACACTATTTCACTTTAAATTCATCTACTGAACAGGAGTATTGATCAAGATAATGTAGAGTATATCATGGGTAGAAATAAAAGTTAGAAGCATGCTTGGGTTCCCAATGGTAGTTCAACTGTTCTAGAATGCATGAAGTGCCATCATCTGACAATCGTTGCTTGGACAAGGATATGGTGTACTTATCCAATAAATTGTAGTGAACATAAATTATGTGTGAGAAATGGATGTTTTGTTTCGTAACTGGTATCGATGTGCATTTCAAATGATTTTGATTGTGTCAGGCATCATTTAATATTAGAAACAAAGAAGATAGGTTAGAAATTGTATTTAGTTGTGTCCGTGAATCCAAAAATTTGGATGTTTGATGAATTAAACATATGGACATATAACCAGACCAAATACTGCATGCTGTAGGATCTGTCTAGCTAAAGTCTTCTGTAAGTGGTCTGATGATGTGTTGGCCACTGGAGGATTAATGCTCTTTTATTTAGTTCAAAGGAATCCTCATTTATCACTTTCTGCTTTTGGCATTCGGTCTGTTGGAAGGCAACAGAAAGTATGGACCACTCGTTCTTACACATTGATGTTGCTAGATTTTTGTTATCAGCTTGTTAAGAAAAGCCTTTTTGAATGGGTTTCTATTGGTACAGGGAGATATATATTGAGAAAACCTATTAGTTTTGGCATGGGAAATATGGGTTACTTTCTTAAAATTGTAGAGTTGGGTGATATTTCGTTTGGAAAGAAAAGAGCAGACCTTTTTTTGAAGAAAAACAATGCTGTTTGAAGATTTCAACTTCTTTATGGGTTTCTAAGTCGAGTTTAAGGAGTCTCCTTTATCTTCACATGTTCTTGGTTGAGAGATGTGACATATTCATTATTTTATAGTTAAGCTTGTTTTTCTTATATTTTAAGAGTATGCATTCTGATGATGTATATTTTCTTGTATGATGATCAATAAATCATGTTTCTCACATAAATTTTATTGTTAGAATTGTTGTAGATTGCACTGTAATATGAAGGGCACACACTATTTATTATTTAAGAATTATTGTTGGTTCTCTCTCTCTCTGATATATGAGATTAAAGCGCCGTTTGCTCCCATTAATTTTCATTTCATTATATTTCATTTTTCTCTTCGATTTTCAACCACACAATCTTTCATAAAATAATATTACACGTAAATAAAAAACTTTTCATTCTTATTCAACCACTCATTTTTCAAAAAAGCACTATTCCACCCATTTTCATTTACACAAAATGGGGCCAAATGGGGCTAAGGTTTGTCATGTCTATACTTCTGATAGATATTTTTCTATTTCTACAGCTGAACAAAGTTGTCAGTGGACCAAGACATCCTGGAGTTATTGGTGATCGAGGATCTGGTTCTTTTTCGAGGGAAAGTGAGTTATTTATTTGTCTATTGTTGCAGAATTATAATTTTTCGTTTTATGTGCGGCTTTTTCATTTTACTTATTTACATTCAGTCCTCTTGGTCCTTGTTTTTTCACATGTAATTTGCATTAAAGAGTCCCTCTCTGGAGTGTTGGAAATGGTTTCCTCATTTTGCAAATATCCTATTTCCAGCTTATATTTGTATCTAAAGCTAAAAATTTTGAGCAAGTGATAAAATTTATTAATGTACCATGAAAGGAAAAACCTTGGTGTGAAATGGAGAAGGTTGAGCCTTCTCACTGAACTCCAAGCAACTTTTGCTTTATTAATTTTGTTGCCAATGCTCTTTACCACGTGTCATGTGAAGTTTTGGCCGATTGATTAGGTATTTACTTTGAAGAAAATCATTTATGAAATCAGTTAGTGCTTTCTTTTGCTGTTATGTTTTATCCTTTTGTTCCCTTGTCATTTGTAAATAATTGCATATTACTAGATGCTGTGGCCTGTGAGGATACTTCAAATCTTGTTCTAGGCTTCCTTTTATGGATACTATATATTTCTTTATACTTCCTTTTTTGTGAATTAACTGGGATTGAATGAAAGCATATTGATGGAAAATAAAGTGAAAAATAAATAAACAAATAGAATGCCAAATAGATAAGGAAATCCTAAAATAGTAGAAGAGGGACATCGTGTTGTAAAAGAGAAGTTTTACTAAAGATTTTTTAAGGAACTTAGCTCTTAATGAGTTGAAACTCGAAACAGCAAATCATATTATTTACCCATGGGAGATAGACAAACGCATCTATGAACATGTGGGTACAACTCTCTGTTAAACAAAGCAAACATGTTTGTCTTATGATTTTTGGTCTAGTCTTTAAGGTTGCATTAATTTGAATATTAGCTAGTGTTTTTGCACTTCATTGATTATTTTTCTTTGATTTGCTTATGATATGGTTCTCTTTCCAGTGTTTAATCTCTTTCAGTTTCATTTAAGGTAGACCTTGACATGCTAGAATATTTTTACCTGTTGCTGAATAATTAGGTATAATGGCATGCCTGCACTGCATGTGGTACTTAGTGTTTGCCCTTTGTGTGTGCTCCACTTGAAGGGTGATTCTCCTATTGTTGATGTCTGTTTTGATATTTAGTTCATCCTGTTTGTTATCCCTTTGCCTTTTGTTCACTATCTAAGTGGCTAAGTCGACTGTAATTGATAAATGGTACTTGATACATTAGCTATTATGAGGTCGGGAAATTTGAAATCAAAATTCCTTTTTTTTTTTTCCATTTTATAATATCATCTTTTTGTTGGTTCTGTGGTTAACAAGAAGTTGTTTCAGGTTCATCTGCCACTGAATGGCCACAAGAGATGAATTTTCCTGATTGGCTTAATCAGCATATATCTGATTCAGAATATTATCAAGAAAGCAAGAGGTGGTCATCCCACCCACATCTCTCTTCAGTTCATCTTTCAGAATTAAGACAGTTACACAGAACATCTTCGTACCCTGACCAGCAGCAACAACAGTTCCAGCACTATGCTAGTGAGCCTATTTTATTGCCACAGTCATCTTTCACTTCCTTTCCTCCACCGGGTTCTCAACAACCTTTGAATAATTTGCATCATCTTAATTTGCAATCTCTCTCTAGGGGAACTCAGTCATCCTTCTCCGCTCCAAACAACTCTCTATCTAATTCAACTCTTCATACTGGCTTGCCTCGTGGATTGCATTATAATGCAAATACTTCAAACTTAACCTCACCTAACCTCTCTCTTAACAGAAGGCTACAGAACAACTGGACTAGCGATGCTGGCCTCCTTCATGGGGACCATTCTAACCTCTTGAACAATATCTTGCAGCATCAATATCAGAATGCGTTGTTGTCGCCACTGCTAATGACCCCACAGCGGCAGAGACTGCGTCCTTCACTTCAGCCGTCTTTAGCCCATTTTCCAGCAGTACGATCTCAACAATTTAATAGCTTCCCTTTACCATCACATTTGAGTAAATACGGATTAGCTGATAAAAGAGAGTCAAAGTCAAAATCAGCAACAAAAGGTGGAAATAGTGTACGATTCTCTCGCCAAGGTTCTGACGCTAGTATCCAGAGGAGTAATAGTAATTTGCTTCAGTTTAGGTCCAAGTACATGACAGCTGAAGAAATAGAGAACATTCTCAAAATTCAGCAAGCTGTAGCCCATGGCAATGACCCATATATAGATGATTATTATCACCAAGCTCGTCTTGCAAAGAAATCAATAGAAACGAGGTCAAAGTTTCGTTTCTGTCCATCTCACCTGAGGGACCAATCTTCCCGCTCGCGTCATGGTGCTGAATCCCAGCCACATCTCCATGTTGATGCTCATGGGAGGATTTCATTTTCTTCTATCCGCAGGCTCCGTCCACTTCTTGAAGTTGACTCTCCTCCCTCTGCTTATGGCAATGGAAGTGCTGAACAAAAAATATATGAAAAGCCTTTAGAGCAGGAACCGATGCTTGCAGCTAGGGTTACAATTGAGGATGGCCTTTGTCTTCTTCTAGATGTAGATGATATTGACCGAACCCTACAATTCACTCAATCCCAAGATGGTGGCAGTCAGCTTCGACAGAAGCGGCATATTTTGTTAGAAGGATTAGCAGCCTCTCTTCAGCTTGTTGACCCACTTGGAAAAAATGGCAACACTGTGGGGCTGGCTCCCAAGGATGATATTGTCTTTCTACGAATAGTCTCTATTTTGAAAAGTTGGAAACTTATCTCGAGGTTTCTTCAGCTTCTTTTACCTGGTAGCGAGCTTGCCCGAATAGTTTGCATGGCCATCTTTCGTCATTTAAGATATCTTTTTGGGGGCCTTCCCTCTGATCCAGGAGCGACCGAGACAATTAATGGTCTAGCTAAAACCGTGTCTCTGTCTATCAGCAGTATGGATCTCAACTCACTTAGTGCTTGTTTGGCTGCTGTAGTTTGTTCCTCAGAACAACCACCTCTTCGTCCTCTTGGGAGTTCTGCAGGAGATGGTGCCTCAGTCATCTTGAAATCTGTTTTAGAAAGAGCAACTCACTTACTAACAGATCCTCAGATCAATAGTACTTTTAGCATGCCGAACCCTGCACTTTGGCAGGCTTCATTTGATGCTTTTTTTGGTCTCCTCGTGAAATATTGTGTGAGTAAATGTGACAGTGTAGTGCAATCGACGTTCTCTCAAACCCAGCCAAACACAGAGGTAACTGGTTCAGAGGCTGCATTAGCTGTAAGCAGGGAAATGCCTGTGGAACTTCTCCGTGCTAGTCTTCCACACGCTAACGAGCATCAGAGGAAGTTATTACTAAATTTTGCTCAATGATCTATGCCTGTTACTGGGTTCAATGTTCATGGTGGAAGCAGTGGACCAATAAATCCCGAATTAGTGGGGGGTTAGCAAGGAAGAGCTCATAAAAGCTTTGCATTTGTACAGGCTTTGGTCTCTACTTTCGTTATCATTAGTATAACCGAAGGTCCCTATCTTCTTTCCCTCCCCCCTCCCTCTTATGAGGAAGGGGTTACATTCTGTTTATTTCAGTAAAATATTAAATAACTGTTTGTCGTGTCGGAAGTTCATGAAAGGATTAATGACTTACACCTGCATCTGGGAGAGCTTTATTTTGACGCTCTCCTGTGAACATCGGAGAATAAACTTAACCGTAAAGGTGAAATGTACAGGTTTCCATCTTTTCTCATTTGAGTTCATCCTCTAATCTTGTGTAGAGTATTGAGAAAGAAAAAAATCTTATTCATCGAAAGAATAATGGGGGTATGTTGTAGAGTAGGCTATTGTGCGAATTACGAGGTTTGCTGTAGAGAAGGATAGTTGTGCAAGTGTGCAGCCTGGTTTTTAAGGGGTGACTTGTAATGTTGTAGAAATAGTTCTCATTTGCTGAATATTTAAATGTCACAGTAGCCAAATTTACAGGATTTGAGGTAACACAATGCCTTATTTGCTGCGTGTGCGTGTATATGAACTTAAAGCTGGTATGCTTTCTTGATTATTTGTTGCTTGCTTGAACTAAGATGTTAGATTTCTCATGGATATGTTTTGATCTGTTCTAGTATCTGTTTGGATCCAGGTCTCATATATGTTCTTCGTTGCACGGAGAACTTCCAACTTGACCGTATATGAAATTGTAGTCGGGGTTAAGAAACACTTAATTTCAACATAAAGAATTAAAAAGAAAATAAACAAAAGATCTCATCTGCGTATCTTGGATTGTAAAATCTTGATATGATTCTCATTTTGATTGTATGACAAATTTTCTGCTTGCAATTGGTATCGATGCTGTTGTTCCAAATATTGAAGTCGGTCAATGTTCCTTGCCATGAAAACCGTTGGTGTTAAGCTTTTGGTAATTCATTGACTTCAACGAGCTTAGAAAGGATTTAAATCAATCTTTATTATTGATGTATGCGTGTAAATCGATTATTTCTTTTTTGGTCCATTAAGTGTAAGAGAAAAATGTTGGCACTAAATGCTATTAAGGAGTCAATTTTTTTTATTTTTTTTTTCGGGGGAATCGACGTCTGCTACCCTTCGAGTACACATTGGATAAAGAGTCAATTATTGAATGTACAGGAGATTGTGGCAAAGAGAATTGTCGATATGACTTAAAAAAAGTTTCCAAGAAGAAAATCCCTTCGTTACAGCCTCTTGCCTTCAGCGGTCTTGCTAGCACCCGGTTAGGATGTCTGGCTGCATCATTTTGGTTATATTTTTATCCTGTGTTACTGGTCGTGTTTACGGGGAAAGTAAACTGATTTGGTTTACTTTTCAATTGCATGGACCACATTTCATGCTTGTTTGAGCAATCGGCATGGCATCACAATATCTAATAGCCAAGATTTCCAAAATTTTGACGAGAAATATTAAGTAATTTCAATTATTTCGGTGGCTGAAGCTAATGCAGCAACTTTCTAAGTAACCATCTAATACAGGCTTCTTTGATCTGTTTATCCATGCAGCTATTATAAAAATCCAAACTGTTTTGCCCCCTTAAGGTCATTTGCCCTCAAATCAAGAAAGTTTCGACCTTCAATCTCAAACGTTGTAAATTGTAAAATAACATTATCAGCTATATTCGTTGTTAAATCACGAAATTGGAAACCTTCAAGATTTCAATCCAGTTATCATTCAAACATCAGAAGTGTAGCTTAGGTACAGACCAACCAAAATTCTTTTAGCTGACAAAAAAGGCTCATGAATGTGCACCCACAGTTCAGGGTGGGTTAAATATTACAGTGTATTAAGTAACAAAAATACCCATAACAGTATCTTTTGGCCTGCAGCGAAAAATGATCTATTTTACCAACGATGGCAAGAGAAACGAGGCTCGACTCATGTTTAATTTCTAGCTCTCTTTCTACTTTTTATATTGCTGTTACATACTTCTAGCACAAGGCAGACTGTCAGATTTGAATCTACAAGTCGCTACATGGTTTTCACAACTCATCATGAACGTCGGATTCATCTGTTTTGTCAGTTGCAGAATTCTCTGCTTCTCCGGCTTTTTGATCTTTTTGAGTTGTCTGTCCAGAAGACGCACCCGTGTCATCTGATTTATCAGCAGCGGTCTCATCTTCAGTCTTTACAGGCTTCTCAACTTTTGGCTTTGGCTTAGGAATCCTATTGATTTTTGCAACCTAGACAAATAAACATTAACCATAATAAAATAGCAATATAAAAAAATCGGAACTGCAAATTTACAATCGTGTTTTCTCACGGAATCGTGTTTTCCCAATGAAGATAACGAAGAAAAAATAAATATAGGTGCATTACCTTGTCTTGAAGGTCAAAAACTTTTGTATATACTTCTTCAGACTTGAAAGCTGGGGTATTAAATCCAGAAATCCTGTTTAAAGTATTTCTAACTCATCATTGTCGAGAAATTTGCACACACTTCAATAGTACAAATTACGGATGAAGGACATTCAATGAAAAGATCTATGAATACGATGTATTTCTAACCTGATACAGCAATAAACCTGAATAAAGACCGAAAAGGTAAAAGAATAAAAGGAAAACTCACTTCTGCTGCTCCGCCTCCTTCTCATTCAACCAATTCTTCAACTTTTCAGCCTCACGTTTGACCTGGAAAAACCAAAAAGTTTACGTGCACTTCAAACTTACCAATTCATGAATATAACATAGCAATCTATTTTTCCAACATATATTTTCACAGAATGAATATAAGGATGCTTAGTAAGATAAGAAGGTTAAATCACCTCATCTATTTTCTCTTTTGGAAGCCAAGGTTTGTCCTTTTCCCATCCGTGTATAATCTGAAGAGATTACGGGCAGAAAAGAAAAGTCAACAGACAGGTCATTTCAAAAATAAAAGGAGCATTTAGCAAACTTGAGCAAAATAGACCATATAAAACCTCAAAACAGAACCATGGAAACAATAATATTTGTGCCTCAATGACATAAACATCATATGACATAAACCACACGCCTTCAATCATTTAAATGATAAAGGCCTTTAAGTCGAGTAAAAACCTATATTTTTGTGTGTGTCTTTGCAGGCCATCTGTATCAATCTTAATGAATATAGGTAATTAACTACTTATCAATAAGAGGGGGAAAAAAAAGAAGCTAATATTATGTTTGACAATCCTCAGGCACACAGGCTGAGCATACTAGGTCATTGCTCTAAATTTTGTCGCACTGCTTTTCTTGAAGAATTTGATAAACATTGATTACCTTAATATAATTTTTCAAGTCCAGAATTTGACAAACATACACCAAGCACAAGGACCAACACTTGATAGACATTGCCTTGACAGGTAAAGGATTGTTTAGGCCATTATGGAATGTCATGTAAGACCAGATTAATCTTTTCTTATATCGTTTATTTTGAGATGGATTTTATAACAATATCTACAAAATTATGATCCTATCCAATCGCCTTTGTCTTTTACAGAATCTCATATGAAGAAGTCCTCTGCTGGTTATTTTAAGAAAAAAAGGGGAATATTAAAAACAGCTAGCTGTACAACTACACCACATTTGCTTGCCTTTTTCTTTCTTGGACTTCATTGTCTATTCTCAAAAACCTTGGAAACATTATAACTATCAGAGGAGTAGTAGTTCAATCCCCTTGGTCCTTCCTCAACTTTTAAAACTTATAGGCTTTAAGTAAGAAAAACCAGGATCCCAATTTTATTCGCTCTTTCTTTATTAGGTAGAAAATCGAATAAATAAAGAAAAAAGCTACAAAATTTAATAATTACTAGCAGCTACAGTCAGTAGCTTCATCTTTTCTGCAGTGAAATCTCCAAGGACTTCCTCCAAGGGTTCTAGCATTGCTTATATTTAATTTTAACTTTTTTTGTGATGACCCTTCACTCAAGTCCAACCATTCCTAACTTGGAATCATGAAACATTCTACATAATATACATGCACAGTCAGATATTATTAAAGATAGAGCCATTGTTTGGGCTCCATTAATTCCAAAATGCACTTTTCTCTCTCATTTTCAATCACATTCTCCAATAAAATAATATTACATGGAAACCCAAAACTTTTTCTGCTTTTTTAACCACACATTCTTCAAAAAATCACTATTACAAAATATATTTTCCCCAAAAACTAATTATAATGGAGCTCAAACAGGGGAAGAATAGGTTATTAAAAGTTTACACCCACCATGTGGTCTACATCAACATAATATGTTTCAAGTGGTGGAGGAAGCTTAAAGGCATGCCTTATATGGAGTTTTAAACGATGAATGCCAACATAATACTTATTCGGATCCTAGAAAATTTCTTTCGAACACATGTACAAATCAAAGTGGGAATCAAAGTTTTCAACTGGTCATGTCAATAAATATTCTATATCTTATACATTCATCTGGTACCCACTTCCAAATCTACCACCACTGATAGACATCAATGTGTTGTTTTCTGTTGTTACTAATACATGTTCTACAATATATATATATATATATATATATATATATATATATATATATATATATTTTTTTTTTTTTTTTTTTTATATAAGAAAAAAAAAACACACTCCACAGGAAAAACTTTCTGCATCGCTGCAATATTCAGTTTTGCAGGAAAATTTTGACCACCCACTTTTTTGCCTTCAATATTCAATTACAAATTTTCTTTCAACTTTCAACCAAGCATACCCATGCAGGAAAATTATTTTCATTTTTGTTTCCCTCACTTTTAACCCAAAAACATTTCAAGAATAACTTCCCTGCTACTTAAACAATCCTTATTCAATAATAACTACAATAACCATAGATCAGAAAAAGATCACCTGTTGCACCTCCCCAAGGTATCTCCTAGCATGTTCAGATGCAACTGGCCGTGCAGTAAGCTCATTGTACCTACATCAAGCAACTTAATGTTAGCAACTTCTCTAGCCAGGAACAGATTTATTAAGCTATTTCAACTGATTATAGGTCAGACCTAAAGAATATGGGGTCACCAATAGCTTTCAAAGTATTTAGGCGCTCTTGAAATTCATTGGCTGAAGCATCTTCACCATCAGTGTACAACCATTCTTGCACCTGATAAAATAAATAATGTTTCTTTATTCTATACAAGACACGTAACCAAGCAGTGTGGCCATAAATGCCATGCAAGACCAGAATGCGTTTTTTGGGGGGGCATAGAGGGGAGAGAGAGAGAGAGTGATAACAGACCTCATTGAGCTTCTCGATAAAGGATTGGCGCTCTTGGTCTGAAGATATTTTCTCAAATTCCTCAGATTCAAGCTGATGCCATGAACCAAGAAAAGAATAAAGAGGTTATTAGCATCCCAATTTTAAAAAGAGCAGTAAACCTATGTCCAGCACTTCAAACTAAAAATAATAAATGAAAATGGGAAATCATGTAAACTAGTAGTATATGTATATGCACATTTACGTTATCAATTCATGATATCTTTTGCGGGAAGTGAAATTATCACAAAAATCAAGAGAGAAGTAAAAAAAACTCAATGGGACTGTCCTAAAACCTAATCTACCAACAAAATTGCATTGTGAGAAATATGT